CCAAAATTGGGCTCTTGGGACTACTGACCTGCTCAGCATACAGGAAGGAGAAAGGACTACTGCCAACTCTTCAGCAACCCAAACACAAAAGCACATGTGACAAGGGAACAATCTAGCAGCACACCAAGGAAAAGACATTTAATCAGTCTGTTGCTATCTACTAGGTTCTAAATGTTGTCACTGACACATTCCACTTAGGGCCAAGAATCTACTACGCTTTTCCCTATGCCAAGGAGAGGAAGAGGAACAGAGGTAAGATACCATGGGTACAGGGAGGGCCCACAACTAGGCCACCTCCCATGATGTATGCGTTAAGTGCTGCGGAACTGCCAGAGGAGGGCAGGGGGAAGACAGTGCCAAGGAGCTAGGTCTGGGAAGCAGGACCAGAGGGCCGCAGGCAAGAGCAATCTGGACAGGAAGAGGAACAGGGGAAAAAAATAGCCTAACAAGAGCGAGAATGTACATACCCATTGGCCAAAGTGTACAACAAATGCACATTATTCATTCCTAAGACTAGAACCACTAACTGAAATATTAGCCTTGCTAGCTGCCACCTGGGCAAACCGGAGCTTTAACCACAGCACATCCTGTGCCCGCAACACCATCTGTGGTGACACAGTGCCTGGCACACAGCAGGTGGCAGTGAGGGCTTGTTACAGGGTGAATGCAAGCAATGGGATGGGAAGCATCACCTTTCATCTTTCAGGGAAGCTAAGTACCAGGCGCCTCCTCCTGCTCTCTGAAGTGATCAAAGTGTTCAGGGGAAAGGGCCATGCCATACGCAACTTACTGTCAAATGGTTCAGAAAAAAAATTGTTAAAAATAATTACGTCCATGCATACATTTCTATGCATGAGTATAAACACACAGGGGAGATACAGCAAATAAAATAAAATGCTAACAATAGGTACATCTAGTACAGGATATGCAAGTGTTCTTGCACTAACTGTATTCTTGCAATTTTTCTGTAAGTTTGAAATTATTTTTTTAGGAATATATTTCTTTATGTCTTTTTATTGATTTCAGAGAGGAAGGGAGAGGGTAAGAGAGAGACAGAAACATCAATGATGAGAGAGAATCACCAATCGGCTGCTCCCCACATGCCAACCACCAACTGAGAACTCCTAGTTTATATAAACATTTCCTACCAAATGTTTACTTTAAAAGCAACAACAAAACAATTCATTAGCTAGTGAGGTTGGAAAAGTATCATCTAAAAAGAATGAAATTATAAAATCCAAAGCCCAGTGTGCTAGTTGGGCAAGTTCTATAGTGTTACAAGGTGGTAGGCCAGTGATGGCGAACCTTTTGAGCTCGGCATGTCAGCATTTTGAAAAACCCTAACTTAACTCTGGTGCGTGTCACATATAGAAATTTTTTGATATTTGCAACCATAGTAAAGCAAAGACTTATATTTTTTTTTAAAGACTTATATTTTTGATATTTATTTTATATATTTAAATGCCATTTAACAAAGAAAAATCAACCAAAAAAAAATGAGTTCGTGTGTCACCTCTGACACGCGTGTCATGGGTTCGCCATCGCAGTGGTAGGCTGTGGAGGAAAGAACTCCAAACTCAGTAGGCACCTGGCCAGCCTAAGTGCAGGCTCAACTTCCCCGCTACTTCTATAAGCTTCAGCCAGTTCTGCTTATAAAACATCCACACGCTTCCTATTCGTTAACCCACATGCTGCTCCAGTGCTGTGGCCACTTCTCGGCTCACTGAGGCTTTATCAGTTCAGCATACCCAGCGGTCCCTCAAGGCCATGGGGAAAGAACCCTGACCTAGGAGCCAGGTCCTAGTGGTCTGAATCCCAGCTGCTCTGCCCTCCAGCTATGTGACTTTATACAAATCACTTGCCTCTCCCAGCCAGCTTTCTTCATCCCAAGGAACACAGCTCCAGTCCTGCCACATCACCTATAGGCCGGGGAACTCAGCCAAGACCATGCTCACTCAGGAAAGGTTAAATGTTTTCTCAGCTAAGTATGGTGGAGTCACCCTGGACAGAGCTATGGTTAAACCCATGGCATGATTTTCTTTCATAATTAATGCTTAGAAAAAAACAGTATTAGAAATCAGCAATTGATGTTGCATTCCCTGTATAGATAAAGGGTCAGGGAGATGATACTTCAGTCAATGGCCCTAAATGCCCCTGTATGTTTGTCACCCCTCAGCAGAGATCCCCAACCTTTCTAACATCTCGGGGAGACAATGCACATCTTCATGGGTCATTATGGTTAACCACAGAAGGAATTTGGGGGGAGGGCTGGTTCTATCCCTCAAACCAGGGTATTCAGATGGAAAAGGCTTCAGAATCCTGGTGAGCCACTGGGTCCATCAGAAGAAAAGCAGCCTAGGTCTCCACAGCAGGGGTTAAAGATAGGACATACATAAGCCCCTGGGAAAGGTGCACAATGGAACCAGGCCAGACTTCTAGGACCGAATCTCATCTCAGCCACTTAGCTTGATGAGCTCTCTGTATTCCAATTTCCCTATCTGTAAATGGAGCTAGTAACAGTGTCTACCTCACAGGGACCACCTGAGAGTTAACTAACACGTGTTCTTACTACAAAAGCTCTGGCATGTAACACATCCTCGATCAAGCCACATCAGACATGCATTTAAAATAAACTTTGGCGAAAGGTCAAGTCCAGCACTCTTGTGTTGCCCATTGCCCCACTCTGTGAAAGGCCTGCATCAGAGAGGAGCCAAAAATGGCTTGGTCCCCGTCCTCAAGGGTTCCACCTGGTAGAAATCAGAAGACACCCTCCTGCCTACTTGCCTGCCTCCCTCCCATGTGGGAAACAGGTTCTGACAGGTGCCCTCCTCACACCCGAGTATGGATCTAAGTCAGGATTCCAATAGAAGGAATGCAGGCTACGACCAAAGAAGCACCCCCTCGAAAATGCCAGCCAGCAAACCTCTGCTGGGAAGGAGACACAGCACACAAGAACATATGACCCAGAGTGAGACTTGCCCTTGCTGCCCAAACAACGTCAGGGAGCCAGTTGGAGTCCCCCAAATGTCAGGCAAGTAAAGATACCACTGGGGCCGCTGCAAGTTCTAATATGGAGTGTCATGGAGTGAAAAAGGTAACTGCTCCCTCTGCCACAGGTGCCTCCCTGCCCCAACTCAGACCGAAGTGTGGTGTCTTCTGTGAAGCCCGCCCCTGCTTCACAAGTACAAAAGGTTGGCCATCTCTGACACCTGCCTAGGCCAACACACTTAGTGGACCGATTTACACCTTGACTCTTTCCACACCTAAAGGGCACTCCCAGAGGAAGGCGTTTATTCTCTCCATTTGAGCATCCCTAGGAGATGGGCAGGTATCAAGCACTCAGACGCCTGTTGAATTACTGCTGGCCACTTGGCAGGATATGTGAACAGACAGAAAAGGAGTTGGGGACATTGGTCACCTCTATCATCCAGGTAGGAGATGCTGGACCTGGAACCAGAGGCACCCCAAGGAAGACAGCATGCATAGTACACATGGCTTCAGTCCAGTGACCTAATGTGCAACACTGGGACCCACAAGCCAGAACAGGATGATGTCTCATCTTTCTACAGGTGTAGACTTGTGTTTTTGTTGTTGTTTTAATATATATTTTTACTGGTTTCAGAGAGGAAGGGAGAGTGAGAAAGAAACATCAATGATAAGAATCATTGATTGGCTGCCTCCTGCACACCCCCTACTAGGGATCGAGCCCACAACCAGGGAATGTGCCCTTGACCGGAATCAAACCCGGAACCTTTCAGTCCACAGGCCGAGGCTCTATCCACTGAGCCAAACCAGCTAGGGCTAGACTTGCTTTCTAAAGCACCTAATCACAACACACAATCCATTGGCTCTGCTTCTCAAGAGCCCATACAGTGCCCTCCTAGACAGGTGGCCCCTTTCCTGGCTTCATTTCCTACCAAGGCTATCCCAGAACCAGTCATCCTGCTGCCCATAGAACAGCAAAAGCAGTGAGCAACCAGCTCTACTCAGGGAGCCCAGAGAAGTATCACTGGAGAGACTCCAGGCTGAGCGTGGGCCTAGGGTCTTGGCCACTAGATAGACAGTCAAGAGGTTCAGTGTCTAGGGTGGGAGCCTGGCTAGGGCAGGGTGGAGGATCAGCTGCATACCACTGTGCTTTCCAGCCTGCCTTTACCCACTGAGGCCTGACAGTGCTCACAGAAGACAGCCCTGAGCACTTCCACCTTCACTGACCGCCCCCTTCCTGCTCCTGGCTACCTGGCCCCAGTTGGCGTGTGTGCGGGAAGCAACCAATCGATGTGTCTTTCTCACATTGATGTTTCCGTTTCTCTCTCTCAAATTAATGGAAAAAATAGCCTCGGGTGAGGATTAACAACAAAAAAAAGTTAAGAATCATACTTTTTGCCCTAGCTGGGTGGCTCAGTTGGTTGGAACATCCTCCCATACACCAAAAGGTTGCAGGTTTGATTCCTGGTCACAGCACATACCTAGATTGCAGGTTCAATCCCCAGTAGGGGCGAGGATGGGAGGCAACGGATCAGTTTCTTTCTCTCTCTCAAGTCAATAAAAACATATCCTCGGGTAAGGGTTAAAAATTAAAACACACACACACACACAACACACACAATTTTATAGTTAAAGGAAATCATACTTTTCAACTGCATTGTTGTAAAAAATGAATGCCTATAATGTGTATATTACATTCTCTTTTATCTAAAAGTTCGATTTCCTGCTGACTTGAGAAGAAATCAAATATTTTCACGGACTCCTAAAAGCACTTTGCGCCCCCAGCACTGCCTCTCCTCTTACTATTAGATAAACCAGCCCTGAGTTTGGGGATTTTAATTTCTTGCTGCAGTTCAGATGGGTACACCAGAAACAAAGATTAAAAAATTCTCTGGGACCTTCTAGCTGCCATGAATGATTCTGAACCCGCACCACAGGCTTTTTATAGAAACACAAGTTCCACGGGGAGTTCTAAAGGCACTTAATCATCACACACAAGGAGCAGTCCTGAGTACCTGCCACTGTCCGGGCTCCCTGGACTGCGACACACCTGCGGGGCGGCGCGTCCGTCTCGGCCCCAGGACAGACCCGCGCGATGCTGGGCGGCCTCCTAGCACCTCCTCGGGTCCAGTCTCTGGGCTGAGTCCTTCTCATTGTCACCGAGTGACCATGAGCGACACGGCTACTGCTCTCCAGCCGCGGGGTTTCCAGGACTGAGACGCTGGCATCAACCCACTGCTGGGAGGAAGCAACGGGAACTAGGTGCCTCCACGAGCTGCCCTCTCGACCTAACCCCAGCCTAGCTCCAGCCGCTGGACCAGAAACGAGGGCGCAGCTCCTCGGCGAAAGAACTCCATCTCTCGCTTCCAGCGACCTCAAAGCAGGTAGTGGCTCCACAGTCGTGGACCCAAAGGCCACCGCCCCGAGAACAAAGTTTCTTGATATACGAGGCGCTCGAGCCCACCAGGTCAACTCACGGCATGGTCCCGGAGGTGCACGGTCCCGGGAAGGAGGACGCGGCGGACCGCGGGTAGGCCTCGGCAGGCGTCCTCCCGGGACACGGCCCCACCGAGCGGAGGGAGGTCCGGGGCGACCCCGGCCCTGTTCGCCCCGCCCCCGGCCGCCCGCCCCGCCCCCCCCCCGCCCCGCGCACCTGGTCGCAGCGGCTCGGTGACGGTGAGCACGAGCAGGAAGAGCAGCAGGAAGGCACCGCTGTCTGCCTTGGGCACCATTTATCCTCCGTTCATCGTCCCCGGGGCGGCCGCGTGACCCCGCGGGGAGGCCGAACCGGGCCTGGCTGAGGGTCGGGGGGCCGGGCCGGGGCCGGGCGTGAAGAGGTGGCGGGAGGGGGCTCCGGCTGGGCCGCCGCTGCCCTGGGCCGTGGGTTCTCACGCACTCTCGGCTGCAGCCTGAGGTTCCGACCGCAACCTGAGGTTCCGACCGCGGGCTCGAGCGCACTCTCCGCCGCAACCTAGGGTTCTGACTTCGGCTCCGCGCAAGATGGCGGCCGTCCTGTTCGGCTCTGCGACGCCCTGCCTCCCGCCCCCGACGCCGGCGTCGGCCAATTAGCGCCGAGGAGGGGGCGGGGCCTGCGCGCTCCCAATGCTTGCGGACCTTGGCCGAGCTGGGGCGGGGCCTGGGCAGTAGTGCCCGAAAGGGGCGAGGCGTAAGGTCGGGATGGGCGGGGCAGGCCCGGTGGGAGGGCGGGGCTTAAGGGGTGAAGTGCCATTGGCTGAACAGAGAGGTGGGGCTCGGGGGTGTAACCTGAGCCGAAGGGCCGGCCCTAGGATCTTAGGGCGCCGGGAGGGACCGGCGATGGGACCAAGTGGACAGGACACAGAAAGGGCGGGGCCCAGTGAAGCCGGGAAAATGGGGAGTGGCCCCGGGGTGGGGGGCAGGGTGGGAGGGAGCCAAGGGGGACGGACACAAAGGGTCTCACCCCTTGCACATCTGCAGCCCGAGGTCCGGTCCATGGCCCAAGAGTGGGCCGGAAAGTGGCCTTTCCAGAAGGGCTGCGCCCTGGCTGAGTGCCTCCGTTTGTTAGAGCATCCTGCCGGGCACCAAAATGGTTAGGGTTCGATTCCAGGTCAGGGCCCAAGGATCAATGTTTCTCTCTTTCTCTCTCTCTTTCTTTCTTTCTCTCTCTCTCTCTCTCTCCCCTCTTTTCTAAAATCAATAAACATATCCTTGGGTGAAGATAAAAAGTAAAAATAATTTTTAAAAAAAAGGACTGCAAAAAAGGGATGAAGAAAACTGTCAGGACCCAACTTTGAGGAGGTGGAAAGGAGGATCGATGCTGTCAGGCACAGGTTGGTGTGGCTTCACTGGTAAAGGAAGTAGTAGCCTAAAGGAGTATCATGCATACCCCCCACCCTCCCCCCATAGATGTGGCTCTGGGATTGAGCTTCGAGCTATGAACCAGGTGGTCATGGTTTGATCCCTGGTCAGGGCACATGCCTGGTTGCAAGCTGGATCCCCCGTAGGGGATGTGCAGGAGGCAAGCAATCAATGATTCTCTATCATTAATGTTTCTATCTGCCTTCCTCTCTGGAATCAATCCTATCCTATATAATAAAAGGCTAATTAATATGCAACTTGTCCCCTCCACCAGGAGTTCGACTAACCAGAGGTGGGCCTGGCCCACTAACTCCCTGTGGCCCCTTCCCCATGCAAGACGGGGCCTCTAGTAAAAATTTATTTAAAAATAAAAATAAGGAGTCATTTTAGAAAGACCCTGTAGTAAAGTTGGCCTCTGGAGGAAGGGCCCTGCCTACATAATGGGGGAGTAGGAGAAGGAACGCTGGGCACATCAGACCAGATCTGCATAGAATAAAGCCACTGGGGACAGTGCTCTAAGTACTGACTTCATAGCTGTTATCTGGAACAAGGAGACTATGGGAGGGGACCCAGCGGATAAGGTGTTCTCAGTAGGAGAGAGGAGCAAGCTGTCCAAAGGACAACCAGCCAAGCACACAGGACCTGGCACAGGGTGTCAGGGCTGGAAAAGAGGGTGAAGGGCCAGTGTGACTCAGTTAAGCATTGGCTGTTGCAACAAAAAGTCCCTGGTTTGACTCCCAGTCAGGGCACATGCCTAATTTCGGGTTCAATCTCTGGTTGGGGTGCGTGCCAGAGGTGATCAATCAATGTTTCTCTCTCACATCAATGTTTATCTCCCTCTCCCTAACTCTCTCTCTAAAAAAAAAAAAAAAAAATCAACAAAAACATTTTTAAAAAATAAAAAGAGTCCCTAGCCGGTTTGGCTCAGTGGATAGGGCGTCAGCTTCTGGACTGAAGGACCCATCCACTTCCTCAGGGTGGATATAGCTACGGTTCAACCCAAGACTAGGCCAGACCTGCCTGCTCCTGCCCCTCAGGGTGTGGCCCCGAGCAGGTGCTAGACACACTCCACTGCTGGCAGAAATTGGTCCCTGTTCAATGCTGACCTCTCCACTTGCACCATCCTCAGGGAGCATTCCAGGAGCAGCTGATGGCACTCAAAGCAGGATCAAGGTCCAGCTTCTGTCCCAGCCCCAGATCTGCCCTAGGAGCCCAGACCCCCAAGAAGGAACACACAGCCAAGAGCAGAAATCCCTGCCAGTTGTCCCCACCAAAGCCACTATCAGAGAAGCAGGCTGGCAAAGCTTTGGAAGAGGAAAGTCAAGTCCAGGGAGGTGAAGAGTCCAGCTAAACCATTCAGGAGAGGGCAGAGTCCTGGCTTCCTAAAATCAGAGACCCTGGGCCTGGAGTCTTGGCCCCACCTGATTCATCTCTTCTTCACCCTGCTGCATGGCCCGCAGGCCACCTGTGTAGACAAAGGCAAGGACTTCCAAGACTGAAGGGGGAAAAATCAGGGACGTTTCTCCCCAGCTCCTTGCCTGTGGGTCACTGTGGCCTCTACCAAAGGTCACTGCCTCTCTCAAGGTCACCCTCTCTATGCTATCCTTCCCAGGCTCCGATGATCATCCCTCCCCTTCTCCAGGAGTGTGTGACTACTGTTGGTGTTTCCTACACTCTGCTCCCACCTTTGTAAGTTATGCCCTTATTACACCCTCAGACTGCCCCCAATTGGAGTATGTCCTGTTTTCTACTGGGACCTGGACTGATACAACACCTGCCCTGAATTTCCAGGATTGCAGTCACCAGCCCCACCACTGGTCAAGCAGTCCTAGCTCCACATCTGGAGGCATGGGTAGACCAGGGTGTCCCCATAGCCCCCTGCTACCTCCAGTCCCAGCCAAGTGTGAGGTCACTCTCTGTAGACATTTGGTCTGCAGCCTACTGGCCAGCCTTCCAGGATTCTGAGTCCAAGGGGCTCAAGTCAGGACCTCACTACCCCAGATACTCCTCCTTTATGACTTCACCCACTGAAGTCATCTGGGAGACAATGCTGAACGTTCCACCCCAGAGTCTGGGCCTCTAGGAGGCAGGGACAGCAGGCCAGGCCAGCCTAGAGGACTATCCGTCCACAGTGTAAATGAGGACACGGCTGGCCCATGTCTTGCAGGGATGTAGAGGGCAGCCTCAGAGGCACTGGGTGCTCCTGGCACCATGGATGATGCTGCCATCCTCAAGCGACGAGGCTATATCATGGGGATAAATTTAGGAGAGGGCTCATACGCAAAAGTCAAATCCGCTTACTCTGAGCGCCTCAAGTTCAATGTGGCGGTCAAGATCGTCGACCGCAAGAAAGCCCCCACAGACTTCTTGGAGAAATTCCTTCCCCGGGAAATTGAGATTCTAACCATGCTAAACCACCGCTCCATCGTCAAGACCTATGAGATCTTTGAGACATCGGACGGCAAGGTCTATATTGTCATGGAGCTTGGGGTTCAGGGTGACCTCCTTGAATTCATCAAAACCCGGGGAGCCCTGCACGAAGATGATGCTCGCAAGAAGTTCCACCAGCTCTCCTCCGCCATCAAGTACTGCCATGACCTGGACGTTGTCCACCGAGACCTCAAGTGCGAGAACCTTCTCCTTGACAAGGACTTCAACATCAAGCTGTCTGACTTTGGTTTCTCCAAGCGCTGCCTACGGGATGATAGTGGCCGACTGGCACTGAGCAAGACCTTCTGTGGGTCGGCGGCATATGCGGCCCCCGAGGTCCTGCAGGGCATCCCCTACCAGCCCAAGGTCTATGACATCTGGAGCCTGGGCGTGATCCTCTACATCATGGTCTGTGGCTCCATGCCCTACGACGACTCCAACATCAAGAAGATGCTGCGCATCCAGAAGGAGCACCGCATTAACTTCCCGCGCTTCAAGAGCCTGACCAGTGAGTGCAAGGACCTCATCTACCGCATCCTGCAGCCGGACGTCAACCGGCGGCTGCACATCGACGAGATCCTCAGCCACTGCTGGGTGCAGCCCAAGGTCCGGGGCCTGTTCTCTGCAGCCATCATCGACGAGGAGGGGGAGAGCTCAGGGGTCCGTGAGCCCTCAGGGGTCCATGAACCCCCATGGGTCCCTGAGCGGGGCTCTGACAAGAAGTCTGTCACCAAGCTGGAGCCCCAGGAGGCACAGCCTGAGGTGAACCCAGAGTCACAAGCCAAGGAGGAGATTCTGCAAGAGGTGTCGAGGCCGTTGGATACCAGAAGCCCAGCCCCTACAGAGGGGCAGCCGAGCAGGGACACCGTGGAAGGGGGGCTCCCTGAAGCCTCCAGACACACACACCTAGTGAGCCTCTTACATGGCCCAGGGGCGGGCAGGGAATGAGGCAGAGCTCATAGCTTCGAGCCTGAGCTCCAAAAAAAAGCCAAGGGACAAGCCACTGAAGGAAGACAGTCCTGGATGAGCCGTTATTTTCGTTTCTTTTCCCTCCCTTTGAACTTGGTAACCCACATGGTAAAAAAGCAATAAATAACTATATTAGTGCAGATTGTAAGGTGCTTGTCTTTCCCCAGCTGACTGCGGTCGTCTAAGAAGAGGATCCATCCCACCACACCCCAAGTTTGGAAAATATATCCCAGTGTGCCCAGCCATGACCATGACCTCAGGCCTTCAACCAGAGCAGAGAGCTGAGTGCGGAAGATGCTGCTTCAAGAGGGAGGCTATGAGTGTGGTGCTGGGGGAGGGGGGACATGGAGAGCACAGGCCCAAGAAGGGCTGCGTGTACAAGCCTACTGGTGGGGAGGGGCCTGCGGAGGGCAGATGCACCAGCTTCTCAGACTCTCTTCATCTCCCCACCTTAAAGGGCAACTTAGTTTTTCTGCTTGGTCCACCAGGGCTTCTCCGTGTCCAGCAGGCTCCCAGTTCTCAATGGCGCCGAGTCACCCCACCCTGTGGCCATTGCCCCAGCTCAGGTGAAGCAGGAGGCTCTGCTGGACAGCCCAGCCACACTCCAGCCCACATGTCCCACAGCTGTGTGGCCTGGATCTCACCCTGTTCCCCTCTAGTCCCAGTCTGTCCCAGGGGTGATACTCCCTGCCAGAGTAGATAAGCTTATACTGGTAAGAGACAAGACAGGTGTCCTCACAAGGCATGCCTGAACTCTGTGGTATCTTTGTCCCATAGCAGGAGCAGGCTTACACGTAACATCACCAACCACCGTGCTTTGCAGGGCCCTGCTTGGCCTTTTCTATGCAGTCCTCACCTCTGCTGTGATGGCCCTTTCTCTTCCCGCTCTGCACTCACTGACTTCTTGTGGACCTGCAGGGTTAACACACCAAAAGGGCAAGAGCCTCAGACTCACCCCACCCCGACACCTCCGTTTTAGGAAAACCTGAACCCCAGCCCGCTGGGAGAAGTGAGACCCCGTCAGTGTCCCAGACCTGCCCTCTGCAACCCTCCCCATAGTTAGTCCAATGCTCTGTCTGGCTCTGCCCTCCCCACAACCCCCTTTCCCACGGTATTCTCATATGCCCTGCCATTGCCTCCCACAGCACCCAGTCTGGCTCCCTCTGCTGAGGGAAGGATCCCAGTGTCTAGCCTTGGAGGTCCTCCCAGGTCTGACCTCTTCCTGGCCACCCAGCCTCTTCCCTCACCCCCACCCCACACATACATTTTATAATCATCCCTGCAAACCTTATCTCTCTCTCCAGGCTCAGCTGAGGGGCCATGGCCTCCACAAGGCCTCCTGGGGGCCCCTACAGCACTCAGCAGCCAGCCACTGAGCTCCACCAGGCAGGCCAGTGAGTGCCCAGGGTCCAGGCACAGAACAGGCCCTGAGTAAGACTGGAGCAGTCCCCCAATTTCTTAGTGAGGACTGCAGGCTCCAGGAGCCCAGCCATGCAGCTTGGCTGATGGTGGAGGGCAATTACAGTATACACTTGAGTGGAACTGACATAGGGACATCCCGAGGAGAGGCTCCTAAGCCGCCTCCTCTTGGTCCTCTCTGCAGCCTGCTGCATCCTCTAGGCAGCGGGCAGTGTGCGGCAAGAGGGCCTGGAGTCTCACTGCAGCCCAGCGAGGAGGTGAGCCTGGGTAGGAGGGGCTGCAGGAAGGAGCACCTACTGTGTGCTTTGCAAGTGGGGAAACAGCTCAGAGAGGGGAGACTTCTTGACTGAAGCCACACCTCCCCAGGTGGCCTCACGGGGCTCAACCCTGGCATAGACCTCCTCAGTGACTCTTTCACAAAGGTTTTAGGATCAAGACCCTCAACATGGATGCTGTGTTGCCCTGACCGGTTTGGCTCAGTGGATAGAGCGTCGGCCTGTGGACTGAAGGGTCCCAGGCTCGATTCCAGTCAAGGGCATGTACCTTCATTGCGGGCACATCCCCAGTAGGGGGTGTGCAGGAGGCAGCTGATCGATGTTTCTCTCTCATCGGTGTTTCTAACTCTCTATCCTTCTCCCTTCCTCTCTGTAAAAAAAATCAATAAAATATATTAAAAACAAAAATAAAGAACACGGATGTTGTGACCCACAGTGCTCGCTCCCGCCCCTGCACTCTCGCCACTTCATGTGCACTAGCGGTCCTTGTCCTCCTCCTCCTCCATCTGGCTAACTCCTAAGACCTCAGCCTTCCCAGCCTCCCCAAGTCCCGTCCCCAGTTCTGTCCTCACAACTCCATGTTCCCAGTATCAAAGCACAGTAACTACTGGGCATTCCCATTCATTGGTGGGACACTGAACCTCCTGGGCTTCAGGAAGGCCTAAGTCCTTTCTAGTTCACCAATGCATCCCAGCACCTGGAACGGACCCTCAAATGCCTATGGGGTGAATGGACAAATGGGGGCCCACATTTATGGAGAAAACCAAAGCTCAGAAGTGACCTTCCCAGAGTCTACAGGCCTCTGACCCACAGGACTGCCGGTTGAGACTTCCGCTGGAGGTCCTCTGGTCCAACCTAACACTCTGCCCCCAACACACCAGGAGTCCCTGCCTCCGCGTGCACATCTTGGGCAAAGCTGCCTGCTCCACATCCCTGCATGATGCTGAGACCTGCCTCCTCCATCACGTCTTCCAAGAACCAAAGAAGCCCCACTGTCCAGAAAAGAGCAGGGTAAGGGGCAGAGAATCCACAGCGTGGGTCCGTGGATCAGTCAAGAATGAAGACATCCAGGAGCACTCCGGATAGAACATTTGGGGCACAGGAGAAAGTGGGGCTGGGGTCATCCTCACTCAGCTGTGAGGACAAAACTGGGTCCTGGCCTGCAAATCCTCACAACCAGCCCCTGCTGGGACACAAAGGAGTGAGTACTGGTCAGTTAGGCCAAAAAGATCCCCCAGGAGAAAGGGAGCCCCAGGGAGGCCTGGCTGCTGGAAGGCAGTTACCACTGGGCTCCTCCTGCCGGGACCAGTCATTCCTGCCTGGCGCCGGGACTCTGGCTATCCTGCCACTGCCATCTTCCACATGGACCTCCAGGCACATGCTCCAAGTGCATCCACAGAGCTGTGCTCTGGGCAACATGTTACATCTGCCTGCCATGTCTTGCCCCTTGTCACCTGGTGGATGGAGCGGTGTTGATCCTCTGCATGCCGGCTCCACTGTCAGCCCCTGACCACCCACACAGAAGCAGGTCTTCCTTCGTCTCCCCTGATCACAGAGTACATGGCACACCTGTCCTGACAACTTGCTATGTGTGGGCACAGGATGCCTGTGACAGGAAACCAATGAACAGCAGGGCTTTCAAACTACCTAAGGCGTATACAGGAGGCCACATGTTCCAAAGCAGAACTCCATACACGTGCCCTGAAATAAGGTTTTCACATTGTTTCCAGGCACAAAGGACAGTTTCAGAGATGCAAACAATGCTTTCCCAGGGTTCCAACAGCTGTGACGTGCCAGTCCTCACAAAGGCCCACACTGACATAATCCACCCAGGTGCTTGCTCCTAACAGGGTGCTGGCTCTCAGCACCCCAGAACCGCCAGCACCCAGGCTCCGCCCAGGCCCTGCCCAATCACTGACCAGCACACTGGCCCGTTGTCTCCCTCTGTCGCCCAGAACCCCCAGGCCCACCCTAGTCCAGCCTCCTATTGCCTGGTCAAAGGTACTGGCCTCCACTCGCCCCAAAGCCTAGTCTCTATGCTGCCATCGCAAAATGTGACTTGGGCCACAGCTCTTCTTGCCCTGCACCCTGCAATGGCTGCCCATCCCTCAGGGAAGAGCCCCCACTCACCTTTTCCCCCCCACTCCCTCCTGTCTGTGGGACTCAGCCATTCCCAGAACAAGCCCTCTCCTCTCTCAGGCTCTTTCCTACCTGGATGTCTATCACCTCCTCTACCTGACTCTCAACCCATCCTCCAGGCCTGCCCCAGTCCTCAGAGCACATCTGCCAGTCTGGGGCCTGCAGCATCCCAGAGCCTGCCTGGCCTTCCACCCCACACACGTCCTGCTCACTACAGCACTCACCCACCCAGCCCTCTACCCCAAACAGAAGCTGCTCTTGTCCACTAAGCTTAGAACCACTGCCAGCCTGGCCAGACCAGAGCAGTCCCTCCCAGACACTGCCAGTTCTGAGGACACAAGCCATAGATGGAGTTTTCTTCACACACCCAAGAAGCTGCAGGAAACTAACCCTAATGAGACAGGAACTAACCCAGGAAAGGAAAACTAGCATAGGACTGGCATTCCTGGGCAGCCCCCACCTCCGGCCTGACTCGTGACAAGGAGCCCCGGCAGGGAGGAGCAGGGACGGTTACCACAGTCCTAGGTGCTGGCTCCCTTAAGTGGGTGGGGAGTAGGCACTCCTGCCACGCCAGCTGGCTTCCAGGGTTCCAGGGGCCCTGTTCCCCCCAGCCCAGTTCCCACTCCCGGCTGCCTGGCTTTATGACTTCACATGCTGAAGTCACGTGGAGATAATGCTGAGCATTCCACTAGTCCAGGGCAGCCCAGCCAGACGGCTCCCCACACTGTAAATGAGGACAATGCCTGCTGGCCCACGTGGGGAGGGGATGTAGAGGGCAGTGGCGCCCGCCACTCCTGGCACCATGGATGATGCTGCGGTCCTAAGGAAAAAGGGTTACATCGTGGGTATCAATCTTGGCAAGGGCTCCTACGCAAAAGTCAAATCAGCCTACTCTGAGCGCCTCAAGTTCAATGTGGCGGTCAAGATCATTGACCGCAAGAAAACGCCCTCCGACTTTGTGGAGAGATTCCTTCCTCGGGAGATGGACATCCTGGCGACTGTCAATCATCGCTCCATCATCAAGACCTACGAGATCTTCGAGACCTCAGATGGGCGAATCTACATTGTCATGGAGCTTGGGGTCCAGGGCGACCTCCTCGAGTTCATCAAGTGCCGGGGAGCCCTGCATGAGGATGTGGCACGCAAGATGTTCCGCCAGCTCTCCTCCGCCGTCAAGTACTGCCACGACCTGGACGTCGTCCACCGAGACCTCAAGTGCGAGAACCTTCTCCTTGACAAGGACTTCAACATCAAGCTGTCCGACTTCGGCTTCTCGAAGCGCTGCCTGAGAGACTGCAGCGGGCGCATCATCCTCAGCAAGACCTTCTGTGGGTCGGCGGCATACGCGGCCCCCGAGGTCCTGCAGGGCATCCCCTACCAGCCCAAGGTCTATGACATCTGGAGCCTGGGCGTGATCCTCTACATCATGGTCTGTGGCTCCATGCCCTACGACGACTCCGACATCAAGAAGATGCTGCGCATCCAGAAGGAGCACCGCGTGGACTTCCCGCGCTCCAAGAACCTGACGGGTGAGTGCAAGGACCTCATCTACCGCATCCTGCAGCCAGACGTCAACCGGCGGCTGCACATCGACGAGATCCTCAGCCACTCGTGGCTGCAGCCCCCCAAGCCCAAAGCCATGTCTTCCGCCTCCTTCAAGAAGGATGGTGAGGGCAAGTATCGGGCCGACTGCAAACTGGACACGCGACCAGGCTCATGCCCCGAGCACCGGCCTGAGCACCGGCCCGACCACCGACCCGATCACAAGCTGGGGGCCAAAACCCAGCACCGGCTGCATGTGGTGCCCGAGAATGAGGACAAAATGGAGGACAGGCTGGCCGAGACCTCCAAAGCAAAAGAACAGCATGTCTGCGGAGCCGGAGCCGAGGTGGGGAAGGCAGGTACCTAGGGTGCAGATGTTGGGGGGCGTGGTGCACAGTGGCGCCCACGTAAACTAAGTAGGCAGGTAGGAGCTGAAGAAGGCACAGGTGCAAGGAACAAGTAAAATCTGTCAATTAAACCACTATTTTGATTACGTTCTATTAGCTTTCTTCTACTTGGTAGCAAAGACGTTAATGACTAAGCAGCAAATAAACCACAAAGTGTAAACAAGCATTGAGAATGCCCCCTGAGGTGTCTTTCTCTCCAGGACTCGGCCAACCACCCTCCTTGCGGCGCAGCGTCTCCAGCATAGGGGTCCAGGGACCGGGGCTCAGGCACAGGTTCTCACGGGGAGGCCTGTGGACAAGGAGATTGCAGCCATGGACCATCTTGCCAGGCTCCCACTGGTCTCCCTGACTGGCCGGTGCCCAGAGCCTCCAGGGCTCGCCAGGTGCACTGTTTCCCCCACCTCGGGCGCAGCACAGCGCTCTCTGGCCCCATCCCACTTCCTCAGCCAGCCCTTCCTCCAAGTTTTCCTCCCCCTCCCTCCCCTCGCCCCTGGATGACCCCCTTCATCCTCCAGGCAGGCAACCCCAGCCAAGACCTCTGACCTGCACCCCCTCCGCTGCATCCTGGTCACCCCACACAGCAGCCCTATCTTGTCACCCAGGACACACTCCCAACAGGCCAGCCACGTGCTGGAAGTGGTCAGCACCTGGCCTTAGGTGGCCCTGACTGGACGTCTCTCTCTGCATCTCACTCACGCCCCCTCAGACCTCTGCTTTCCCATTTCCTGGGGGAACCCTCAGGCCCAAGGCCACTCTTCCCCATGCGGGAAAAGTATCAAAACCCACACTTTGCAGTCCCAGACCTTGGTCCAAGCTCACCCGCTAAGCCCACCCCAGTCCCCTTGGTGGGTCACAGGGCACAGCCAGGACTTGGCCCCTGGAGTTTGCAGGAACTCACCGTCGAGGAGTGCAGGCTGGCGGTGTCCAGAAGGCAGCAGGCCCTGCACCAGCCTCCGGAGGCTATTGGCACTCAGGAGGGCAGAAGAGGACCGATGCAGGAGGACTCAGGAAGATGGCCTAGTGCAAGGGCTGGGTGTGCTCGAAGCAGGACTCCAGTCTGAGGGGTTCCAGGTTGCCTCCCTGAGCAGCGAGCCCCCAAGGGCACAATCTGACCCCACTTGAGGCAGAAGAGACCCATTTGGCAAGCAGCCATGGTCTTGGGCCCCCCAACTCCATGTGAAGCAGCTGGTCCTAGACCTTCTGGGGGTTGGGCACCAATACACTCAGACTGCCAAGCCAGTGCTGGCCGGTGGTATAAATGGTGCTGCATGAGGCAGGCCCCATTGCTTGACACTGTGGCCCAGGTTACTGTTACCTGGGGCTACTACTGGTGGGAGTGACGAGGTGAGACTGGTGACTCAGCATCTTAAGACTGGCAGTGCTGGAGCATGGGGGAGCTGGGGAGGGGGCAGGAAGACGGAGATAGCCCTGCCCCATCTGAGCTAGAAACCAGGTGCTTAGAAGTCACGGTGAAGCCACTGGGAAGGAACCTCACACAGGAGTGTGGCCTGACACCTACGTAGGACCCATGCAGCCCTGGGCCCAGAGCTCCAGGTAAACCCTAGAGGCTGAATTCCCAAGGGCTCCGTCCTTCCCTCAGAGGAACAGAATTTGAGGTGGGGGTCACAGGGGACCAATATGCTGTGAGCTCAGCTCAGGTTGTAAGCCCAGGAGTGCCACAGAATGCAATTCAGGTGGCAACAGGAAAGGTGAGACACCTAGCCCTCCACGCGTATCTTCTCCCATAATCCTGAGACCTCGATGCAAGCAAAGGGACGGCCCTGCAGACTGTGCTATGTGTTCTTTAATTCCTGTTAAATAGAAATGGGCAGGGGTTCCATAGAAAAAAGTACCAGCAAAGCCCTGGGATGTATCCAAGGGCCATGGGGTGGGTCCTGTGCCAGCCTGGCTGTGACATGGCACCTTTCTTCTGTGGCTCCTGGGACAGTCACTGCTTTTGGCCCGGGCCTGGGTCCCCAAAAGGCCGGAGTCCTCTGCTGAATGGACAGCTGCCCTGCAGGCTCCACAAATATCCCGTGAGCCCAGCCCGGGCCTGGCTCTAGAAGAAGTCTGAGGCTTTGCGCCGGGCAGGGAGCTGCAGCAGGTTGTCTGTGATGGAGGCCGGGTCCTGGCTGAGGGGGGTGCGTGTGGCCGAGCCAGGAGCTGGTGTGCTCGTCGGGGTCTGGGGCCCGCCGGCCGGGGTCTTGAGGTGGGCTGAGCGTGCTGGGGACGGTGTGTAGCTGGCCCGCAGGGCCCGGTCTGTGTACTTGCTGGCTGTTCTACTCACAAGGCGCTGCAGGGCTGGGGACATGGCGGGGCTCAGGCCTTTGGGGGTGAGGCTAGGATAGAGGGAGTGAGCAAGAGAGGTAGATTAGGCCTGATGGAGCACTGCCAACAATAGGGTCTATCACAGCTCCATAGGAAGACAGATGGGAGACTCATGGTCATTCTGGGCTGAGGACCTCAGTGACCTGGCATACAAGTGTGGCCAAACTTGAGGTGGAGTGCTGGTGTTGCCCTTGGCCATGGGGCTCGGGTAGACCCCAATTTTCTCTAAGGGGAAGGATGACATCCATGATCACAGGTGTAACAAGAGCTCATAGTGGGACAACAGGCCTTACGGTACTTTTAGGGATGTGCCTGAGAGGTTGAAGAAAATAACGATGGGGGCCCCCACATCCCGGTTCATACAGGGCCTCACTCCGGGCCAGGGAAGCTGCCACAGGACCCATCGAAGGACACCTGGGACTTCCCTGAAGACCGAATGTCCACACTGTTGGGGGTGGGGTTGAGTGGGAGCAGGGAGAAACCCCACGAGGGTCAGACAGCCCTCACCTGGCCAGGTTCTCCGTCACTCTCCGCAAGGCCTCCTGCTTCTTGGCCCGGTTCTTGGCAGCAGCCTCGTTGGCCATCTTCAGCCCCAGCCGCTCCCTGCGGCCCGGCTCCAAGATCTACGAAGTAGGTGTGCGGGTGCTCACAGAGCTGGACAGTCCCTCACTGCTGGAAGGGCTGACTCTTCCCATGGCCCCCACCATCTCAACAACCCAACATCACCTCTCCTGAAAGCCCCTGAAGGCCTCCAACCGGCTAGCCCAGTGGTCGGCAAACTGCGGCTCGCGAGCCACATGTAGCTCTTTGGCCCCTTGAGTGTGGCTCTTCCACAAAATACCGACTTCTGCGCACGGGCCACGAAGTTTCAATCGCACTGTGCGTGTGCGCGCCCACGTGCTATTTTGTGGAAGAGCCACACTTAAGGAACCAAAGAGCCGCACGTGGCTCGTGAGCCGCAGTTTGCCGACCACTGGCCTAGGCCAAGCGGCTCCCCTGCCATCACGGTGCTCTCAAAGCTAGCACTGCTGAGTTAGGAACCTCACAATCTTTTAGAAAAGAGGGCCTTGTTTTAACCTGCTTCCCTCTGATTATCTTTCTGTCTTACCAACTTTCTGTATTCCTTTGGAGAACCCAAAATGTGTCCTTGGCCTATTTTTCTAACAAGGTGCTTACCTTGGTTTTTTGTTTGTTTCGCTTTATTTACTTATTAGAGGCCTGGTGCACAAATTTGTGCACTGGCGGGGTCCCTCAGCCTTACCAGCAATCAGGGCTAATCGGGGCCATCTCACCCAGTCCTTTGTACCTTAAAATCATATTAAATATTGACCGCTATTTTCTTCTCATTGTTTTATACTTATTGTTTTCCTACTTAACTTTTCCAAGTTTCTGGAATGCAATCTGCTATACAGATTAAGGACCTAGTTTACTTCATTTCCAAATTACTACTCAGCACAATTTGAGTTACCATCTCTAACACACCCTAAATTCTGACTTGAACTGAGGTTTGTTTCAAAATTTTTCTTCTTTTCTATTGACCTGTAGGTTCTAGGACCAGTGACACTCTTCTGACAGATCTATTGCTTTAGTATTGGACAGCACAGGTTCCTATCTTTCCTCTCTCAAATTTTCCTTGCAACCCAGAAAAATGTCAGAACCGAGGTATGTCAACTGTCCTAATAAGAATATTACTTTGCTGTGATCCCTCCCAAATGAGGGTTGTTTAAACTCTAAAAAAAACAAACAAACAAAAAAAAAAAAAAAAAAAAAACAAAAACAAAAAACGAGGTATGAAAAACCTCTGTGTACGTACTGTCTAGACAGGCTACCTCTCTGAACTATCAAGGCAACATGTACTACACTGGGGAGGCCACCCGGCAGAGCCCACACCCTCAGGGGCGTGGAGGGGGGGATAGGACAGTCAGTGTTCTCCTGTGGTTTCCTTGAAAACTAAGTTGCTCCTGGTTATTCTAAATTTCTGCTGCTACAGTGAGTGATACCAATTTTTTTTGTTGCATTTCAAACTGATCATTGCCAGCATTTAAGGGACTGGTTCAAGATGACTGACCCAGCCTTTTACGCAGGCCTTCTGCATCAATCCCAGACTCCAGGCCCAATTCTTTGGGGTGTCAGAGCAGACGGGGTAATCCTGCACTCTTTGTCTCTGTGACACCACCAACCTCTGTCTCCCTCGACCTCCCGGCACCCCACAGTTGGTACAGGCAGCAGCCCAGCACCCAGATAGCAGGACTGCATGCTTCCTCCTTTCACACCATGCCAGTCGCTCAGTTTCCCCAACAAACTGCGTGTAACCAGAGAACCTCATCTTCCCAATACCTCTCGGGGACCCCACCTGCTTGCCCAATTGCCCACACCATCCTGGGCCACCCCCATCTCTGCAAGAGGCCTCTCTGTGGAAGTGCACAGCCCTTCTGAGGACATACACCCCATCCCACAGAATGCTGGGGTTCCGAGACCCTTCCCAGCCCTCAGCCTACAGCATAGCCCGAGCTCCGGGTCTGCCTCTGGAACCACCGGTCATCTCTGGGCAGCCCCATCCTCTGGGACTGCAGGCTCAGAGGAGCCACAGCCATTCCCTGCCTCGATGCCTCGGCCCCACCCCACCAGTTCC